TTTTGAGGTGCATAGAGTTAAAATTCACCGCCCCCCTCTTTCCCCCCTTTTTTTCCCTTGATTTTTATCCGGCATTGACCTATCCAATCTAATCGTGTTTTCTTTTTTCCCTTTTTCATTTTGGCTGTTAAATCTGAATTTAAGCTAGACCCTGGAGGGTTCCTCAAGTCTCTTCGGTAAGCCTGATCATTTATGTTGCGGATGATTGTAATCTCATATTGCTTTTTCAGTGTGGTGTTCACCAATGTAGAACTAATTAAGAAAACCAGCTCAGAATGCCTTATTCAACTCGTTAAGTTGTCACAAGTTGCTCCGAGATGCAAACATATTAGTCTTGCCATTGAACTTTTAGTTGAATTAGGTTGATAGTTGAGATTTTTAGTCTAACTAAAAGTGCTGACTGATTATGTTCTATCTGTCTGTATTTCTGAGTTTATGTAATCTAGGCATATATCTATATAATAAATTACAGAATGCTGCAATTGGTGTGGTTTGAAAGGACATTTGGACTGATGGTTTGGAGATTTCTTTTCTGACAAATTCTTGGTGAGAATTTCAGACTGAACCACCTGTACCTACCATTTTTCCTATTGGGTCAATGCACATAGGTCAAAAGCATTAATCGAAGCTTTCACCTTCAGACATTAGAGGTAATCCTATGGATGCTGGTTGTCTTCGGTGATATGATGGAAGATGTAGACGGAGTTGGAGATGGAGAAGGGGAAGGTGATAGGAAAGATAGACGAGGATGGCTACTCGCTTCATATATCATGCAATGAAACGTTCAAGCTTTTTGTTTTACAAATGCATACATGGTATGTTCAGAAGTCATCATCTACGGGAGGTCCAAAATGATAAAGACAATTGACTAGATATCACTAAGACGACTAAATGCTATTAATAAATGAGAGAGACAATGCGCTGGCTCAAAGAAGATATGAAATCATTGTTTCATTAGCATGAGTCTAAAGGTATCTGCCCTTTAGTCATTGAAGTTTAAGCTAGCTAACTATTTGCATGCTAAGTTAATCCTGCCATATTGACCAGCCAAAAGGATTCTCTAGCAATAGTTGCCATGTGGGCCATCACTTCATGGCGATCTCGATAAAACCCTTCCTCATCACTGAGTAAATTGTTTCTCATGGTAAGCCATCATTTTGGGTCAATTGTATTCCCTTGTTGGCCGCTATAACCAGCTAAAAACTGTGGTACATATTACCACTAGGCTGAATGCTAAGGTCTGAGGTTGCTGGTGATGGTGATGGATGACAAGCTAAGGGTATTATGGAAAGCCTTGAGATTGACATGTGGAATTTACCTTTCTACAATGAAGGCATTCTTGATTATTTGTGGATGCTTGCAGCAATGCCCTTTAGTTTCTTATGTAAATAATATGGAGTTCTTTCCTGCGTTGTATTGATAGATTCTTGGATGGTGTCTCAGGTGGAGTAATGACTTGTGAGAAAAGTTATCCTTTCTAATCTTGGTGTAGAGTGCATATTCCAGATTTTATCTATACGTCAAGTACTAACATTTGAATACTCAGATTTGGAAACTTTTCTCAACATGGCTATTTGGACTTCTATAGTTCTCTGAGCTTGCTGTAACAGTTGGAATGATAGGACTAAATTAAACGCTCTTCTAAGTTTTCCTTATGGTTTTCACATACAGTTTGAGTTCTATGTCACAGTACTTGAGGTTCTAATGCCTTGCCTAAAGCAGGTGAACAGTAATTAATGTCTTACTATGCTGCCTAAAGCAAGTTTTATGACTGAATGTCGTCTTTCCTAGTTTACTGCCGCTAATGCCATTTGCATTCTTACGCTGGAGCTATAGCTATCAGTTTCTGTTGCCTCTGACCAGTGTGTGTTTAGACTTATAACATTCTCCATATTCAACATAGTTGAACACTTAATGTATAATTTTTTTCAAGGTAACTGTTCATTTTCCTTTGATATTTTTGATTCATCTGTATTAAAAGAATGTTTGCATATTGTTGAAGTAGTCCTAAAGCTTAAAGATACATGTTCCTAAACTTCATTTGTTGATATAGCGTGTATAATTGGTATGTCTGAATCAATGTAGCTCTCCCTTTCTTTTGAGAACCTCCTCAGTTTACTGTACTCCGTGTTTTTCCAATGAAGGCAATGTTGAAGATGGGCATTCGTGGTGTTACGGTTTCTGATGTTCGAGGCTTTGGTGTTCAGGGTGGCTTGACAGAAAGGCAAGCTGGTGGGTAATCTTTTTCTTAATGGTTCTGTGCCCCTGAATGTCCTTGTAGTTTAGTCCTTTTCCAGTCACAAGGCAAAGGTGTCTTTTATTCCCCTCAAACATTTACATAGGCAAAGGCAGATGGTGGATTATGCCATTGGTTCTTTGCCATACATTTGATGCATTTCTAGTAGTTGCCCTTTTTTCCTTTTTTTTTTTTTTAAATATGTTCATTTGCCCTTTGAAGATGACTATGTTTCAAATCTGGTCGTGGACAGGCTCTGAGTTTTCTGAAGATAAATTTGTAGCAAAAGTTAAGATGGAGATTGTTGTTAGCAAGAACCAGGTATTGTTAAATCCACTATGAAGATGTCTAACTCATGTTCTATAACAAATTGGTAACGATACTTTTATCCGAGTTTTGCAATGTAGTTTCTGTTAAGTATTGAGCAAGCTGCTGAATGGAGCAAAAGCATTTTTAGTTGGCTGAATTTGTGCAACTCATGTAGTACCCTGCTTTTTTTTAGGTTGAAGCAGTCATAGAAAAGATAATTGAAGAGGCAAGAACTGGAGAAATTGGTGATGGCAAGATTTTTGGTAAGATTCCTTATTATGTTTGATTTTGGGTATTGGAATTATTTTGCTAGCTTGAGCCTCTATTTTTCTTACAAAATGTTTGCCTCTTATACTGCTTAACCTTCTTATTTTGCTGAAAGAAAAATCTTTTTATAAAAGGAGAAATTCTAGAGTTAGCATCAGCTCCGAGCAGCTTTAGATTTTGCAGTAAAATGTCATCGTCTTTTTCCAAAGTAGTTTGTTATCTTTTCCTCCGTTGGTGGGATGGGCAACGATAAAATTCTGAACCCAGAATCTTTCTGCCTGCTGTCTGATAGGCTACATCATTACTGCACATTGTACCAGAAAGCTAGGTGGTTTTAACTTATCAAGGGTTGCATTGACTTTTGAGGTAAAGCATGAAAGGATCTTCGTGCAGAGAGAAATTAAGACAGATGGCTTCCATTTAACCAACATTGATAAAAGAATGACTGCATCTTACTTGTCCACCTTTGTGTCATGATGCAATCTACCTTAGCCGTATGAGATTGTAGAAGCACAAGTTGGGGAAGGAAAGTCAGAAAGGCTTGTATGTTGCCTTGGAGAGTATTTGTAACTAAACACCCAGAAATCAAGGACCATAAGGATTGTGTTCTCTTAACAACTGTGTGTTAATGTTTGATTAGAAAAAAAAAGAAAAAAATTTTAAAAAAAGGTCAAATATTTAGAGTTGTTTGATCTTTTGGCAATGAGCCTGAATCTAATACCAAATAGAATGTTGAGTTCGGTAATGCTGCTTGCTAAGAGAGAGAGAGAGAGAGGATCTGCTTAACCTCAGGTTTGCAGTATTTAGGTCATACATGCCGCAATTTGGTTCACATGCTTGAGCGTGTAATCACACGAATGGTCACTAAAGAACTAATAGATTTAGGCAAGTTCCAGTCAAATTGACATTGGTTTCCTGTTGTTGGTGCAGTGGTTCCTGTTGCAGATGTAATAAGAGTTCGCACAGGTACATGTGCTTCCTTTGTAGGCATAGGGGTTGAAGCTTATTTTAGTGGTGGAAACTACTGGAACTGATAGGAATTGCGTATCGGAACTGAGTTGTAAACTGTGCTGAAACATGGTTGGTGGTGGTACTATTGCAGGTGAGCGGGGAGAAAAGGCTGAGAGGATGATGGGAGGCCGGACTGACATGTTCTCCGCTGCTGAATCACCAGCTGCTTAAGTTTCTGAATGGAGGACGTGGGAATTAACCAAAATGTACTAGCCGGCTAGTGGTTGAAGAGGGAAAACCGAGGGGGGAAGTGGCCAGGATTTGGGTGGAAGACCATTGCTTGAAAAAACGCTGGTATGTAAATTAAAATAAAGGTACAAGGAGGAGATGCTGCAGAGCAGCAGAATTGCAAATCGTCTTGTATCCCAACCCTTGTCTTGCAAGAGGCGAGGAAAATAAAAAGGTTTATGATAGTAATTCCAATTTTTAATTAGGCCAAAATCTAGATAGATCCAGTTTTTAAGGTCTAATGATCCAAATTGTGTCAGACCATTTGATGAGACGGTGTAGTACAATTTAGAGCATTGCGTTTTTTAAGATCAGGGCTATGAAAGTATGAACCATTTAATGGCCAAAACTAAATAAACAAAAAAAAAAAGGGTGTCAAATCAGTAAAAAAATTTTCCCCCTTTTTTTTGGCATTTTGATCATCTATTTTGAATTGAGCAAATTATGCAAATGGCTACTAAATTTCTAGAATCGGCAAGTTTTGGTTACTGAAGTATTAAAAATTTAGGTTGTGTTTGGATTGCATTTTCCGTCATTTTTCATGGAAAAATTACTGTAACGATTTGATATATGTGAGGGAAAAAGGTGATAGGAAAATGTGATCACGGAAAACGACAATATTTTCCGACGGAAACAAGCAATCCAAGCATGGCCTTAGATTTTGGACTATTCCGTTTAACTATGTCAAATCTGAGTGTCCATATGATTCACGAGATAAAAGTAAGTGGTTCGAAATTCAAACTTGAAATAGTTCAATGATCAAATTATATTTTTAATAATTTATTGGTCAAAATCATACTTTTAATAGTTCAAAATCATAATACCTTTTGATCACTCCAAGTTGACACATTTTCAAAGGGAAATGGTCGTTAAGGGTTGAGTTGACAAGGGGAAATATAAAAAGTACGAAAGTTATTGTAAAGAATTTTAAAAATTTATTCTATTAATTTTTAATTCAATTCTTTGAATAAAATAACTTTTAACTGAAGCTCTTATCTCCACGTGGACCTAAGGCGGCCGAGGCCGGGAGATTAATATAACAGATCAAATTTGGGGAAAATGAATCCAATCCGATCCAAACCAAATGAACGCAAATTGAAGGGAGGTGTATGCTGGTGGCTAGGTAAGGGAGCAGTGGGCACTGTCTGGAGAGGTGAGGTTCAGGGGCGGGTGATAAATGGCTGAGATAGAGAAGGAGAAGGGCTGGAATAGTTGTAAGAATACTAAGAAAGGAGGAGGAGGAGGAGGAGGAGGAGAGCAAGGGTTTTGCAATGACTACGTGTACAGGATCAGTACCGCGGAGGAGTGGGCGGAACTGCAGACAAGTGGTTCTACTTTGGGCCGACAAATTGATAAATCAACCGGCTGTATTCATCTCAGCAACCTCCACCAGGTCAGGTTAACCGGAAACTCAATGTGCCTATACCGACTCCCTTTTCTTTTCGCTTGTTTCCTTTAATTTTATTCGTTACTCGTGCTACTAAACCAGTACCACTAGTATTTATTTATTTTTAGCTATAATTGTAGTAATTTATTTAGTTGTGCCTAGGGTTCTATCCCATTATACTTTCGTTTATCCAACGATGAAACGAGATTGATTGATTTCCAAACATTTTTACCTTTTTGGATCCCGTCTGCTTACTCTAATTCCTTCACACTTCGTAAGATGATCAACAACAAAAAAAAAAAGATTTTGTTTCATCCAATTTGGGAAAGAATCCGAATTCAGCTACCAAAGTGAGGTCAGAGGGGGTTGTTTTGTTTATCAACAAGCTTTAACAACATGCAGATGCAGTCATGTCGTCGAGTAGTAGCAATATTTTAGAGCTCGCTCGCTCGCTGGCACTCTTTTTTATTTTAAGTAGAGAGTATAATGATCTTGTTTGTGAACAAAAGTCTACCACCGACTCACTCCACACTAGGATCGCTACCTGCATCTTCAGCATGCTTCTACGTACGAATACAAACCCAATTTTTATATTTTTTCTGTGACCCGAAACATGTTTCCACTCGAACTGCTTAAGACTCGAGCCGACACACCAAATCGGGGATACGCCGTGGCCTCTCACGAGGTACCCAAGTTAGACAGGGAGTTCAAGTTTGAGGAAAGATTTGAACCAGGATCTCATCCAATCCAAGAGCCCGTTTTATTGCTAGGCTATCCCTGGAGCCAACTTCAAACCCAACTTGTTCAGGCGCTCACAATAATACAAAGATAAATCTTCCGGGTAGCCATTTCTTTTCAAGGATTATCTGGCTTTTGCCAACGCTCGTGACAGTTGGCTGCTGCGTTTGTAGATATTGAAACAGGGAGTCCCTCCACGAAGCAGTTTGTGCGGCTAGTATAACTTCTCTACAGCCAACCCCCTTCCTTCTCCCTCCCTTCCTCCTCCTACCATTATTGTATTCAAACTACTGCATAATCAATAGTTGTGCCATCTCTTCTTCTGACTTTGCAGGTTCAGTGGGTTTTACACAACTTTTTCCTGAACTCTAAGGGACAAGACTTGTACCTGCTCCAAATCGATGCTAAAAAGGTAAAACATTTCCACACCATAGTCACGGATGATGCTGAAAAGCAAGCAAGCGCTCTCTTTCATCGCATATTATTTACATGGGCCAACTTGCTTGCAATATTTGGATGGAGCTGATAGAAATTATTTGTGTCCTTGTGCAGCTTGGTGATGGTTTGGTTTATGAAGCCGCTGCGGACGACTCCTCCAAGGTCTTCCCTCATTTCTACGGTCCATCTCGAAGTTTTGGTCCTCTTCCTCTGGATGTTGTTACTAAAGCGGAGAAGATAATTCTATCAGGGACAATGCTACAGTACCTATAGTTATGGTAACGATGTTAAGGAAACCTACTATTACAGGTTTCTATTACCTTTAGTGACTAATCAAATTTTTTAGCGACTTTTTAAATATTATATTAAAATAATTAATATTAACTTTAGTAAGTTTTTAATTAAAACTAGTAAGTATATGCCTGAAAGATAAGTTTTAGTCAAAAATCAAAATTTACCCTTTCAATAATTTAATTTACTTATTATTTGACAAATGTTACTTGTGTTTAATTTAAACTTACTAATACTAAAAGTAAAAAATTTACATATTAAAGTAAAAAAATAATCGGTTTCTGAAAACGGTTTGGGTTTCCACCTCTCTAAAGTTGCTTCCCTTCTTTTTATTTTCTTCTCACCTCACGGAAGATTGTAGAAAATTTTTCTTGGAAAAGGAAGGAGTACAATCATCATCTTATGGAACGGGATTAGCTTTAGCTAAAATTTAGAAAACTGATCAAGCGGGCTAAGCAATTCTATCATATCTTCAGGCTAAACTCTTCTGGTAGGTTTCATGCCTCAGTCTCTTTTTCTACCTTTTACTAAGCATTGATTCTCATTTCGGTCAATCAATTGGCCTGCCTAGGCGCGGAGGAAAAGCTAAATATGCTTTATAGATAGCACAGGTTCAGGAGAAAGGGTTTCCCCCCCTATCAAACACAACAAAAGGGTTAGCAACTGTGGTAGCCAATCAAAGAACATATGAAAAATAGCAGTGACGAGGTTAGACCATCATGTTCTCTTGAAATCGTTTGATTATATTGCTGTAATTTATTTATATTTCATTTGTTTTGTTTGTCAAGATTTTCTTGCGAAATCAGGGCTGAGAATTTGAAGAATTTATTGCAATTTTGGGGCTGAAAATGTCCGTTGAAACATCTAGGACATGGTTGTAGTTTTGATTGTCTACGGGTAAAATATGCTTAATAGCCATATGAAACATCTAGGAAAGGACTTGAGACTAGGCGTTTAAGTTAAATGTGATTAATTTGTGAATGCATATAAGATGTTTGGTGAAATGTCAAAGAGAAATTTGTGTGTTATGATTGCTACTCTGTGCGGGTGAGAAAATTAAAAGTTCTAATTGCCAAATGGTAATGGCAGTCAAATTGTTAAAAATCTGATGGGAGGCTTCTTAAATTACTCCTTTTTAAGCATACCATTCACTTTCAGCCGGCACATCCTACAAAATATCTGCATTGCAGTCCGCATTTGGGAAATTAATTCAAACCAAGATATCCGAAATATTTCCCCTAAGAATTACTTTGGATGCAAATACTAAAATTCTAAACAGAAATGATGTTTATGATTCTTTAACAAGTCAAGAAATAGATGGACCAACCATTTTTATGGATCAGAATTTGTACTTACCAGTAAGTTCAACTTGCCGTCGAAGGTGGAAGAGACATTCTTTATTAGTTCCTCTCTTTCTGTTCTTGAAGCCTTATCGCAAGTTGAACCATAGACTTTGAAACCCTGTGCTCCCCATTCTTGCAGCCTTTCATTAAGTTCCTTTTGGTTTCTTGAACATGTGTATACTGTGGCTCCAAATCCTGCTAACTCTTCCACTATGGAATGCCTGAAATTTTGGGTCAAATAGTTAAAATGGGGACACGCATTTTGAATGTTGCATTAAAGCTACTAGGGACATAATCGCACATATATACTGGAACCAGTGAAGGAAGTAAGGATTTATGTATACGAAACGAGATATGACCGTGATTGAGTAGGTTTTTCTGCTCATTAAAAGTTGTCCAATTGGTTGTTAACAGTTAACATACCCTTTTGAGGAGTGAATGAGAAAACTAATGTTGAAATGAATTTACTAATTTTTTGATATAAATATAAATACCAGGAACTACATTTGAAGAAATTTGCTTACCCAATGCCTCTGGTGCCACCAGTAACAAGGGCAGTCATTCCATTAAGAGACCACCTACCACTCAATTGTTCACTTGCCATGCTTTCAATGGCTTCCGACTGGGTTGAGAAAAACGCAAGCTGGAGGGAAAGAAATGACCAGATAGATTTCTTATCATGATAAAGATGCAAGGATAGATGATACCTGTATATGTACGCTACCTGTTAAACCACAAAAAGTACTTTAAGATTTTGTGAGATGGAAGGTCAGAGTTTTGAATCTTGCCTTCTATCAATTGTCACTTTATATAATTTTTTTAAATCCAACAGGTGTCAAAGGGCATCCGTCTAATTCAAAGGTAATTTAGTCTCTTTCTATTCCTAATAATCCAGTTAGAATTGTCCTTTTCCTCGTTATTTAGGAGCAAGAGTAGGTAAAGACATAGATTATTGACATTTGAAAAAAATCTGCCAAAAGTATAATAATCATTGAAATCTACTATCCATCACAATATTGCACTTAAGCTAATGGTCAGCCGGCTGCAGCCCAATGGCGTAAATATACCAATGGATAAATGTGGTTTTATTGACTAAGATTCCACTGGGGCCCTCTAACATTGTCCTTCAATTAAACAGAGAAAGTGTATGTATATATGTGGTTTGAAGGGCATATTAATGATTTGGGTTACTTGGCTTGGAAGTCTGTGGGAATCGGTCCAAGTTTCATCCATACATATTAATTACCACTGCTTACTTGCTAGGAAGGAGTCTTGCGCCACTCTCAATCTTAAGATATGGAGAATTAAGATGACTCCAAGCTCCATAATAAGACAAGCATAATGGTTGAAGTATTCATAAATACGATTATGTGTATTCTCTTTTTTTTTGTCCAAAAAATACGACTTTGTGTATTCAAGTAAAAAATTTGGGGGTTTACGCCAATGGGATAGGTAGCAAGTTCAATCAAACTCATTTATTGTAAACTTGTCATTACTAGCTAAAATACTCCAAATGAATGATTTTTATTCTTATGTTCTCAAATAAATGAATTATCTACTTCGATTTTTTCGAGCATTAAAATTGGTACAGGTGGTTTACTATAGAAATGTGTCTCACATGGCTTGTTCTGCTGCTAAAGCTTAGGGGCTTGAAGCACGTATACGTTTTACTATTATTCTTGTCATCATTTGGTTATTTCCGCTTCCAGATATGCTAAAACTGAAAGTCATGTTCTTTTTCAGGACTGGATAGCTCAACGGGATGGAATAAGTGAAAGGAAGCAGGGAAGATTAGCATTAATCATGAAATTCCATATGGATGGTTCTAGTCAAACATGGGGTGCATCGGACACAGTCTCTCTTTTGGTCTTAGTTGTTATAGGTGTTTTCTGATTGCGCTACTACTTTTGTAGTTGTGACCCTGTCACATTTTGTTCAGCTTAGTCAGGGACTATTATGCAGTAGTTGTTCTAATGCTTAACCATGATAAAACCTCAGTAGTTTTATATAAGCAGCTACTTACTACATGCTACATTTTGCTGTAAAGTACTATGGAGGATGCCCTTACCACATTAATAGCGGTGTAACATCCATTCTATCGTAGGAGCACGTACTCTTATTTATTTCTGCGAGCATTAGAAGTTTTTACTCCAAAACGAATGTATCGTTTCGTTTGGACCAAAAAAATGTGTTGCTTTCCTATATAGACTGACGGCATTTTTATGAGAGAGCATCGGCCTTTGTGAATTTAACTGCCGCGATTTCCTCAGTAAGCCATTAGCAGAAGTCTAAACAAATACTATCTTCCCACGTCCTCTACGAATAAACAACGAATCCACCTTTCTATTTAATGACAATCTGCCATTAGGAATAATGGGACAAACTTTTAGCTAGGCACCTGCATCATATTAACAGTTAATTCCTGCATCCATGGACATAGAAGAACCAAGCAGCTCAACTTTCCAATCCCGCCAAAAAGATGACAATGGATGGATCACTTTTCCTTTTATCACAGATATATCCCATAAGTCTCGCAGCAAATTAGTGTTTGTCATATGCACTCAGGAAAACGGGTCGAATTCGGGTCAAACCGTGGTTGATCCGATACAACCCGATCACCTGTTTATGAATTAAAAATTATTTTACCTAACTAAACTAAGTTATTCTTTTTTTTTTCAAAGGCATTAATCACTTAATCCTAAATGAATTTATTTAACTTATTCGAAGTTGAAATTATTATATTTGGACAAATAATGTATTATATTATTTTTTACTTTTATACTGCTTTTATTTATTTTATATTTGGTTTGGAATAAAACACTTTTACTGTGTTTTTTATTTATTTTAGATTTGGTTTGGGATTATTTATTTAAATTTTTATTACTTGATTATGCAATTAGTCTTGTGTGAATTAGAAATTATAGTGGTAAATTAATAAATTAAAATTAAGTTTTGGGTCATTCGGGTCGTCCCGCCAACCCAAAACCTGGAATTTTCAGATTCGAGTCAGATATCCTGACCCATTTCGGGTTGGCGGGTCAAGTTCGGGTCAGCCAGTTTTCTCTTATACCTGGGTCTCAACCCGACCCGTCACTCCGATTTGGACCCGATTGCCACCCCTAATTATATTGGGAACAAAATAACATATTTTACAAATTATTCCAATTTATTTAGAAAATGTTACTAATTTCATTAGAAATTATGAAATGTAATCATGGTTTATTAATTTTTAACTAAATATAAATACTACATATGAAAGGAAAAGATATTTGACTTTGTTTTACTTTGATTAGAAAAACTTGTGGTAGAAATAACAAAATAGTGACAGGGGTGCAAATTTCAAATCAACAACCAACGTACACTTAATTACGATAATTTTTTAGTTGATCAAACTAATATATGCCATAAAGTAGTAACATTTGATCATTTATAAATTGGCAATTTTAGCAGTTTATATACAATTCACCTATAAAAATTATGATTATTATAAAATGACATTTTATAATAATTTACATACTATTTGCCAATTAAAAGTAAGTTTGATAAAAAAAATGTGCATATAAATCCATATTGTAAATGATACAAAATATATTTGAATCTCACGAAACTTAATATGTGGGTAAATTTACTATAGTTTTCAAAGATTATGCCACATTAGTACAAATTTAACTTTTATGCTTGTGACCTAGAAAATAAATTTATTAGAACACATAACCTTTGTAAATGATACATACATTTATTAAAATGCTTAAAACACATAACATTGATGAATGATACATACAATCATATATTATACATTTACGTTACCAACAATTACTAACTATAATATTAAGTTTCAATCATTAATAAAAAAATCTTAGCATTATTTTAAATAAACTTCCTAACACTTGTTTCATATAAGTTTCTTTAAGTAAAATAGTAAACTTATGCCACAAACTAGTAAGTCTTGATGATTAATCAAATTTACTATTTTATCAACAGGATTTACTATTAATCCATGAAAACTTACTATTACTTGAACTAAACTTACTCTCCAAAAAGTAAGTTTCGAATATAGAGTAGTAATTTATTTTTTTTAAAAAAAGTAACTTTCATTTTTATTTCAATTTACTTTTTAAGACATAAATAGGATAACACTTGGATGACCATTTTTTATTTGCTTTTAGCGATCATTTGATTATTTGATAGGTCTATCCACCTAAATAGGATAACACTTAAAAATAAAAAAGTAAGTTTTCTATCTAAAATAATAAGTTAACCGTAATAAATTAGTAACTTTTATACTTCAAAAGGTGAGTTGGAATAAATATTAAACTTACTTTTTAAATAAATAAATTACTACTTTATATCCCAAACTTACTTTTTAGAAAGTAAGTTTAATTCAAGTAATAGTAAGTTTTTATACATAAATAGTAACTCTTACTAATAATATGGCAAATTGATTAATAATCAAAACTTACTGATTTATGAGACACATGTGCTATTTTATTTTAAAACATATTTTAAAATAGTATTAGGAAATTTATTTAAAATAACGATAAGATGTTTTATTAATGATTAATTCTTAGTACCTTAGTTAGTAAGTACTCATAATATACCTGTATAATACATGATTATAGGTATAATTTAAAAAAATTATTTATATATTTTAAAATACTATGAAAAATAGTTTGACTTTTCACATAATCTTGTGAAATATGTAATAAAATTTTGTCGTATTATAAGCTTTTAATCATTTTCAATTTTTGAAAAGTTTGAAAGTTCGAATAACAATAACAACAACAACAAATCTTCCTAGTTATATATAGAATATTACTTGTTTATATATCAAAATTTTTATAATTTAACACCTATGAATATAATAAGATGATAAAGTTTTAATAAATTTACATCTGAGACACAAGAAATAATAAGAGTAAAAGCCTAAACAAAATGAGAAAGAATATAATAATAAAAATGACAAAATTAGTATAACAATTAATATAAGAAAATCAGTATGATCTGGATTTTTTCCCTTGGGAGATTGTTCATAAGAATAGGATCCAATAATTATAAATGAAAATCACATGCATGTATAATCTATTGTGTAATTTAAATTAAATTTAGTTCACCTATAAAATGGTCCTAAAATAATTAGTACACTATGATATGTGTTATTTTGACAACAATTTTTTTTTTTACTAAAAGTCTGAAATATCCATTACATATGTATGAGGGATATTTTACCATATTTGTATCTCACATCTAATCATGAAAGTTAATTTGAGAAAAACTATTTTTGACAATAGAATTATTTTAAATTTAACCAACAAGTTGAGATTTTTTAAACAATAAAAGTGAAATATTTTGGGAACTTAGTTGTTTATTTTCCCATAATTAAAAATTTAAAATATGACAAATTATTCTTACATATTTCATAAGGTCATATGCAAAAAAAAAAAGTTTTCATGGTATATTTAAAATGCTTCAAACATATAACATTTATAAATGATACGTACAATTGTAAGTTTCTTTAAGTAAAATAGTAAATTTATGCCACAAACTATTAAGTTTTGATGATTAACCAAATTTACTATTCTATCAACAATATTTACTATTAATCTATAAAAACTTACTATTACTTGAACTAAACTTACTCTCCAAAAACTAAGTTTCAGATATAGAGTAGTATTTTACTTCAAAAAAAAAAGTTAGTTCCATATTTATTCAAGTTTACTTTTTGAGACATAAAAGTTACTAATATATCGAGTTAACTTACTATTTTTTATGCAAAACTTACTAACCAAAATTTTAGGTACTATTTCATTTAGATGACCAGTACAACAGGTAATCAAATGGTCGCTAAAAGTATTTTTACCTGTTATATCAGGTAAAAATAGTTTCGTTACCATAACTATCGTTACTTCAGACTTTTCCTTCTATCAGATGCCAAATTCACCTGCCGTTTGCTCAGTTAAATTTAAAAAAAATAAATAAATAAAGGGTCTTCTTCTTTATCGCTTTCTTCCCATTTGAATTGAAGCTGAAAAGTTGTTTATGGTATACAAAGTCGACCCAAATGCCTCGGACTTACCAACTTGTATTCGGAAGAATCCTCCAGTTTTGTTTTAGATTTACATATCCTAATTGCTTTGCAATTGGAATATGTGCGAGAGCCATTGGTTGAACAGTTCAAATATGCTGTGTGGAAGTTTCTGTTCCTCGTCAATTATACACTTTTATGCTGACACACGACTAATGTATTACTATGTAATTATACATATATGGTAGGAGTATTAGTGAGGCATTAAAAAAAGATTTTTTTTTTTTAAGGGGGAGGTTAGAGGGATGCATTAGTTTATGACGACGTTTACTCTGAAGTAAGGCTGTACGTGAGTCGAACTTGCTCGCTTGTCGTTTCAGTTAAAATTTGATTAGAGTTTGAACTGGTCAAGTTGAATCTGAATTCGAATTCGACCTCTAATTTGTTAGTTCAGGAATCGGTTTGATTTTATATATATATATATATATATATTTTTAATTTTAATAGTAAAATTATATATATTTAATATTTTATTATTGTTTAAAAAATTATTTTTTTTAAAAAATAAAATAATTATTTTTATTTTTTTAAGCTTGAGCTTCACCCGACTTGACTTGAATCTGAGTCAAATTCGAGCTCGAACTTTACATTAAAAGTTCATTGAACTCAAGTTTCATAAAATTAAGTTAAAATTTGATTCAATTAGATTAAAATTTAACTCGACTTAGCTCGTTTACAACCTTAATTAGATTAAAATTCAATTAGATTTGACTCATTTACAAATTAGAATTAAAAAAAATTTTCCCAAAGGCGGGGCTCTTTGGAATGATTTCACATCACCTAGTCTCCCATGGTGCTGTTTTGTCTTTTGCTTTTTGAGATACGAGCAACCGGCTGAATAGGAGAGGGGTTAAGGCTTACTGGCTTAGGCAACATATTCACGGAATTCAAGAATAAAAATACTTGTATTCTACTATTGACTTGTGGACCTTGTGTCCAAGGATAGAACATTTGGGAATCTGTTTTCAAAATCACTGCTGATTAAAATAATAAATTAATTGAAATGATTTAACTCTTTTTCGTTTTTAATTCAGCTGA